TTCCCTTTCAATTTCATTAAAAAGTTTGAGGAGTGGGAGAGACGCACAAAAGCCCTGAGAACAGGAATCGGTGAACAGAGTTAAGAGCTGGGCGGGCGGGGAGCTGTGCATCGATCTCCAGAGTGAGGGAAACTGGGACTCTCCCACGGTCTAGGAGGTGCCAACAGAGGACATTCTGGGACCGGGCAGACTTGCTGGAACAGGGTGCTGTAGTGACTTCAGTGAAATATCCCCCTCTCAAGTGGGAGTGGTGAGCAGTGCCTAGCCTATGTGATGCTGCTGGCTTAGACCCAGTAGGCTACCACAAACCAGGTCCCAGCGCCTGAAGGGGACCTGGAGGGGCGGACCCCGCATAGGCTGCCCGATAACTCACTGGTGTGCTGCGGTGGGCGGGAACACCTAGCTGCCGCAATTCAATCAGATTGTGGCCAACAGGGAAGGCAGCTGGGCTTCCTATATACACTTGCATATATAAGGAACAAAGAATATGGAAAGAGGGAGCAACAAGAAAGGCCACTCAGCCCCCAATCCTGAGAAAGAGGCAATAGCAGACACCGCACCAACAGACATAAAGTGCTATCTCCAGAGCCTCATAGATGAGTTCAGGAATGTAGTTATTAATGACCTGAAGCTAGACATAAGCAGAATAGTTAGAGAAATGCTAAGCACCACCCAAGAAAAAACAGATGGTGGAATGGAAAAACAGAAAAAGAGAAGAGAATTGTTTGATGGAGAAAATAGAGAAAGCATAGAATACGTGAAGCAGGTTCAAAGAGATTACCAGGAAACTAAAAACTCTATTGAAAACTGGCATAACAGCTTGAAAGAAACTAAGGATAGATTATCTGAACTGGAGGGCAGATTTGTAATATGGGAGCATGAAATGAAAAACTTCTTTAAAAAAATAACAAAGAAACAAACAGCAATAATACAAAGACTAGAAGATGATAAGAGGATCTATAACTGAAGAATAAAGAACATAAAAGAACATAAAGAACATAAAAGAAGAGGTAGGGACACAAGCAAATGAACTACAAAAACTACTCACAGAAATAATCCGGGAGAATTTTCCTGATTTAGCAAAAGGTAAAGATACTCAGATGTATGAAGCATACAGGACCCTAGCCACCTACAACCCAAACAGAGCTATACCCAGGCATATAATAATCAAAATACCAAAAATCCAATATAAAAACAGAATATTAAAAGCTGTCAGAGACAAGAAACAGATCACTTACAAGGGAACACCCATCAGAATTACAGCAGACTTCTCGGCACAAACCATCAAATCATGAAGAGCGTGGGGGGAAATAATTCAAGCTTCAGAAGATAATAACCTCCATCCAAGATTGATATATCTTGCACAACTATCACTGGAAATTGATGGAAAAACAAGGTGCTTCCAGGATAAAGAGGAACTAGGGGAATATGCAACCACCAATTCAACCCTATAGAGAATACTGCAGGATACTCTAAAAAAGAAAAATACAAAGAATCCAGAAATAGTGGCAGAGAGGCCACAATGAATGGAGCAGAAAACAAAATGAAGACAAACTGACCACTAATGACAGAAAAAGAGCTCAACAGAAATGAGGCAGAGAAGATTCGATGATAAAAACAGCTATTTTGGAGAAAACAATGTCATAATAGGCAATGCTGATTTAATATCATCTAGTTTTGAAGTCCCATCAAGCTTTTGTTCTTCTGTCTCCATAGGTCTTAACATGTTTTATCTTATTGGATTTTATTATATGTCATAGTATAAACAAAAACTTTTATAGACAAGGAGATTATACAGAAACCACTGTTCATTTTCTGTTAGTTGATTCTAAATACCCTGTAATACTGTCATTCTCTTGAACAGTTTTACATTGTTTTGATATATTTGATGCTACAGTATACGAAGTTATACTCAAAGATTTCAAGGAAAGAGACAATATGGTAACTACTTTTATGTCTGGATGTCTTGTGGTAGAACACTATTTTGCTTAAATGGTTATGTTTTTTTCTGCGCTGTTTTGTTGTTATGCCCTCTTTTATCTCAGTCTCCTTTTTATTACTTACTTTTTATTTTTATCCTTTTAATTAAGGGAAAAATAAGTTTAAAAAATAGTAGGATATATTATAGTAACCCACTTTGATTTACTATTAACTTGATTTGAAGCCCTGTATTGCTCTGACCATCTTGTTTTGACTGATGTTCCTCTATTCTGTTTTACTTGATAGTACCAGGTTCGAAAGTATAGGCAACAGTTGTGAAGATAGTGGGATTCATTATGACGCCCATTCTGGTTGACTCTTATCTACTTTTGAAGACCTGTAATGTCTCCAATGTTTTGGTTTTGTTGGTTTTGTTCTTTACTGTTTTGTTCAATTTTATTATAACTGATGATATAGGCAATTCTATTTGAGATAGCGGGAGGCATTATGGTAACCATTGTTAATCACCTTGTATTATGTTTTTACATTATGTTATGTCCACCCTTTTGATTTGACCAACTCTGTTCTGTTATGTCACATTTGGTTTTACTCTCTTCCAAAAAAAGTAATAAGAACTGTGGGAGCAATAAAACCCAAATGTGTAGTAGTCATTGTACAAAAGAGAGGAAAAGAAAGTGCTCTAAATGATATAACTACATGTATATTTAAGTGTATAAGATACACAATGATATTACTGAGTTTTGTTGGATCATTGAACAGAACTGTTTGGTCTCACTGTTTGAATGTCCACTATATAAGTTTTAATTTTGTAACTTGAACAAATATTTCTAAGATGACAATATGTAATCCATTAACTAGTGATTTCCTACTGTATTTTTTTTCTGAAATTCTGTATAACTTGTACCCTTTTTCTGCTTTTTTTTTCTTTTTCACCTTAAATAAAATTTTTTAAAAAGTTTGAGGAGTATTGGCATTAAATCTTCTCTAAGTTTCTTGTACAATTCAGCCATGAAAGGACCTGGTTGTTTCTTTATTGTAAGTTTTTAATCACATTTTCAATTTCAATAACTGACATTGGGTTATTCAAAATTGTTATATTTTCTTGATTCAGATTTTGTAGTTCATATGTTTTTAGGAATCTGTCCATTTCCTTTCTGTTTTCCATGTTATTTAAGTAAAAATTTTCAAAGTAGGTATTCATGATCGTGTGAATTTCTATAGGATCTGTACTAATTTCTCTCTTTTCATGCCTTATTGTGTGAATTTGAGTTTTTTCTTTCTTTTTCTTAATAAAGTTCACTAGAGGCTTATCAGTTTTGTTTCTTCTCTCAAAAACCCAGCTTTTTGATGCATTAATTCTTTGTATTTGTAGTCTCAGTTGCATAAATTTCTGTTCTGATCTTTATAATCTCCTGTCTTCTGTGAGCTTTGGGTTTTACTTGCTCTTCTTTTTCTAGAATGTGAGAGAAGCATTAGATTGTTTATTTTCACTCAGTCTCTTTTCTTGATATGACAATTTATTACTATATATTTTCCTCTTAGGACCACTTTCATTGCTTCCTACAGGTTTTGGTATGTTGTATATGCATTTTCATTGAATTGTAGATATTTCTTAATTTCTTCTTTAATTTCACCTGTAACCCACTGATTGTTTAGGAGGTTGTTATTTAATTTCCATGTATTTATGCAGGTTTTATAATTTCTTTTGCCATTAATTTCAGTTTCCCTCACTATGGTCAGATAATATGCATGGGATAATTTCAATCCTTTTACATTTACTTAAGAATTTTTAATGGGTTAATATATGATCTATTTTGGAGAATGTCCTGTGTGCAGCTGAGAAGAATGTGTAGTCTGATGTTGTTGGGTGGAACACCCTATAAATGTCTACTAAATCCATTTGGTCACAAGTTTGATTCAGTTCCGCTATTTCTTTGCAAATTTTGTGTCTATATGATTTATCTCTTTGTGACAATAGAATATTAAGGTCCCCTGTTACACTTGTGGCATTGCATATTTGGTGTTTGCATGTCTATTAATATTTGTATTGTATAGTTGGGTTCTCCTGTATTTGGTGCATATGTGTTTATGATTATTAGCTCTTCCTCTTCAATTTTTCCCCTAACAAGTATGTAGTGACCTTTTTTTTATGTCTTTTGATCATTTTTGGTTTGAAGTTTAAATTGTCGGCAAACAGAATAGCTACCCCTGTTTTTATCTGAGTGCCTGTTCCATGGAATATTGTTTTCCATCCTTTGACTTTTAGTCTATGAGTTTTCTTTTGAGTCAGATGTATTTCCTCTATACAGCATATTGTTGGATTCTGTTTCTTTATCATTCTCTCCACCTATTTCTTTCAATAGGTGAATTGAGGCCATTTATATTGATTGATCTAACTGATACATAGTGGGTTAACTTTGTCATGTTACTTTCCTGTTTTAGTTTCCTATCACCCCTTTGTTTAATTGCTTGCCATGTCTGGTGTTTTTTTTCTGTTATTGTTCTGGGAAATACATGCTAAGACTCATGCATGAATAGAACCTACAAACAGTTTATGAGAATGGATCTCATTTGAAATGAATAAATACTTTGAAGAAAAAGAGACACTATACTACCCAGTGTTGATCCTGGAGTGTCATGATGTGAAATCCAGCAATACTATTATTCTTTGTTCAGAGTGATTTTAGCCTGCTACGGTTTGTTTAATCTCAACATAAATGAAGATATGGATAGTCATTATGTATGTTTAAGTGTATAGGACTGATAACTATATTACTAAGTTGTTGTTGGGTAGTTGAACAGAACTGTTTGCAGTCTCACTGTTTGAATCCCCACTTTGTATGTTTCACTTTTGTATCTTGAACAACTATTTGTAGGAGGACAATATGTAATCATCAACTAATGATTTCTTACTGTTTATTTTTTCTTTGAAAGTATTATTATTTCTACCCATTTTCTGTTTTGTTTAGTCTTTAAACAAAAATTTTTTTAAAAGGGAAAAGTTCTTTCTCTTTATGATTGATAGCTGTGATCCTGTCTTCAAGATCCAAAAGTCTGCTTTTTCGCAACGGGTTTGCCGCGAGAGCACAGGTGTAGTGAAAACCACCACTAAATCAAAGGCAACATGGGGAAGGAAAAGACTCATATTAATATCTTCGTCACTGGACACGTGGATTCCGGCAAGTCCACCACTACGGGCCATCTGATCTACAAATGTGGTGGCATCGACAAAAGAACCATTGAGAAATTTGAGAAGGAGGCTGCTGAGATGGGAAAGGGTTCCTTCAAATATGCCTGGGTCTTGGATAAACTGAAAGCCGAGCGTGAGCGTGGTATCACCATTGACATCTCCTTGTGGAAATTTGAGACCAGCAAGTACTACGTGACTATCATTGATGCACCTGGACACAGAGACTTTATCAAAAACATGATTACAGGCACATCCCAGGCTGACTGTGCTGTCCTGATTGTTGCTGCTGGTGTTGGTGAATTCGAAGCTGGTACCTCCAAGAATGGACAGACCCGTGAGCATGCCCTTCTGGCTTACACCCTGGGTGTGAAACAACTAATTGTCGGTGTTAACAAAATGGATTCCACTGAGCCACCCTACAGCCAGAAGAGATACGAGGAAATTGTTAAGGAAGTCAGCACCTACATTAAGAAAATTGGCTACAACCCTGACACTGTAGCTTTTGTGCCAATTTCTGGTTGGAATGGTGACAACATGTTGGAGCCAAGTGCTAATATGCCTTGGTTCAAAGGATGGAAGGTCACTCGTAAAGATGGCAATGCTAGTGGAACTACACTGCTTGAAGCTTTGGATTGCATCCTTCCACCCACTCACCCAACTGACAAGCCTTTGAGGCTGCCCTTCCAGGATGTCTACAAAATTGGTGGTACTGGTACTGTCTCTGTGGGCCGAGAGGAGACTGGTGTTCTCAAACCTGGCATGGTGGTCACCTTTGCTCCAGTCAATGTGACAACTGAAGTAAAGTCTCTTGAAATGCACCATGAAGCTTTGAATGAAGCTCTTCCAGGAGACAATGTGGGCTTCAACGTCAAGAACGTTTCTGTCAAAGATGTTCGCCGTGGCAATGTTGCTGGAGACAGCAAAAACGACCCACCGATGGAAGCAGCTGGTTTCACTGTTCAGGTGATGATCCTGAACCATCCTGGCCAGATCAGTGCTGGCTATGCCCCTGTAAGTTTAATAGTGAAAGACTGGTTAATGATAACAATGCATCGTAAAACCTTCAGAAGGAAAGGAGAATGTTTTGTGGACCATTTTTTGTGTGTGTGTGGCAGTTTTTAAGTTATTAGTTTTTAAAATCACTTTTTAATGGAAACAACTTTACCAAAAATCTGTCACAATTTTGAGACCCATTAAAACAAAAGTTTACAAATGGGTTTGATAGACATATACAGAATGTTCCACCCAACAACATCAGAATACACATTCTTCTCAGCAGTACATGGATCATTTTCTAAAATAGACCATATATTAGCTCATAGAACATATTTAAGCAAATGCAAAAGAGTTGAAATCATCCCTTGCATATTATCGGATCATAGCGCTCTGAAATTAGAAATTAATGATAAAAGATACTGCAAAAATTCCACAAACACATGGAAACGGAATAACACACTCTTGAGTAATCAGTGGGTCACAGAAGAAATTAAAGAAGAAATCAAACAATACCTAAAAGAAAATGAAAATGCAGATACAACTTACTGGAATCTGTGGGATGCAATGAAAGCCGTTCTGAGAGGAAAATTTATTGCACTGAGTTCCCACATCAGGAAAACAGAACGAATACAAATAAATAACTTGATGCTACACCTCAAACAGCTAGAAAAAGAAGAGAAAGTCAAGCCCAAAGCCAAAAGAAGAGAGGAAATTATAAAAATCAGAGCAGAAATCAATGCAATAGAGACTAAGAAAACAATCCAAAGAATCAACGAATCAAAGAATTGGTTCTTTGAAAGAACAAATAAAATCGATAAGCCCCTAGACAACCTTATTTAAAAAAGGGAAGAAAAAGCTCAAATTCATGCAATAAGAAATGAAAAAGGTGAAGTCACTACAGACTCAATAGAAAAACAGAGGATCATCAACACCTATTTCGAAAACCTCTACTCTCAAAAGTTTGATAACACAGAAGAAATAGACAGATTCTTAGAAGCATATGAAGTACCAAAGCTAGATCAAGAGGATATAAAACTGTTGAATAACCCAATCTCTGCTAATGAAATTGAAAATGTAATTAATTCCTTACCCACCAAGAAGAGCCCAGGCCCAGATGGATTCACTGCAGAATTCTACAAGAAATATAAAGAAGACCTAATGCCAACACTCCTCAAACTATTCAATGAAATTGAAAGGGAAGCAATCCTTCCTAAGTCATTCCTGGAAGCAAATATTACTCTAGTACCAAAACCTGAGAAAGACCCAACTATAAAAGAGAACTATAGACCGATCTCCCTAATGAACACAGATGCAAAAATCCTCAATAAAATATTGGCAAATAGGATCCAGCAAATCATCAAGAAGATTATACACCATGACCAAGTGGGATTCATCCCAGGAATGCAAGGATGGTTCAACATACGCAAATCAATAAATGTAATCCACCATATCAATAAAGCCAAAAATAAGAATCACATCATCATTTTATAGATGCAGAAAAAGCCTTCGATAAGGTCCAACACTTATTCATGATAAGAACTTTACAGAAAATTGGAATAGATGGTCTTTACCTCAATATACTAAAGGCCATTTATGACAAACCAACAGCCAGCATCATACTAAATGGCCAAAAATTGAAAGCCTTTACTTTAAAATCGGGCACAAGACAAGGATGTCCTTTATCACCACTCCTATTTAATAGAGTACTGGAAGTACTAGCCAGAGCAATTAGGCAAGAAAGAGAAATAAAAGGGGTAAAGATAGGAAAAGAAGAAGTTAAATTATCATTGTTTGCAGATGACATGATACTCTACATAGAAGACCCCCTAAGCTCCATTGAAATACTCTTAGATACAATAAATAAATTCAGTAATGTGGCTGGATACAAAATCAATACTCAGAAATCAATAGCATTCCTATACACAAACAACAAAATCACAGAGAGGGAAATAAGAGAAACTGGACTATTCACATTAGCAAGCAAAAAAATGAAATATTTAGGAATTACTCTTACGAAAGAAGTGAAAGACCTATACAGTGAAAATTATAATACACTGAAAAAGGAAATTGAAGATGATCTCAGAAAATGGAAAGACATGCCTTGCTCATGGATAGGAAGAACAAACATTGTGAAAATGGCCATTCTCCCAAAACTCTTATACAGATTCAATGCAATCTCAATAGAAATACCATCAACATACCTTATAGATCTAGAGAAATCACTCCTAAATTTCATCTGGAACCAGAAGAGACCTAGAATCGCAAAGGCAATTCTAAGCAGCAAAGACAAAGCAGGAGGCATCACAATCCCTGAGTTGAAGTTATACTACAAAGCAACAGTAGTAAAATCAACATGGTATGGGAATCAAAACAGAGCCAAAGATCAGTGGAATAGATTAGAAGATACAACCACAACTACAAACACACTCAACCACCTTATCTTTGATAAAGGAGCCAAGCAGGTTCACTGGAAGAACGACAGTCTCTTTAATAAATGGTGCTGGAAAAACTGGCTCTCCATATGCCGAAAACTAAAGCTAGACCCATGTCTATCACCATGTACTAAATTAAAATCTAAATGGGTCAAAGATCTGAATATTAAAACAGAAACACTAAATCTATTGGAAGACAAAGTAGGTAGAAATCTTGGAGACATAAGAGTAGGTAAAGAATTCATGAACAAGACTCAAACTGCACTGGAAATACTTCCCAGAATCAATAACTGGGACCACTTCTTATTAAAAAGTTTCTGCATGTCAAAAGAAATCTCCAGCATAGTGAAAAGAAAACCCACAAACTGGGAAAAGATTTTAGTGAACTCTCTCTCAGACAAGGGCCTTTTGTCTAAAACATATAAAGAATTAAAGAAACTCAGACCTCCAAAATTCAAAGATCCAATCCAAAAATGGGCATCTGAGATGAATACGCAACTCTCAGATGAAGAAATGCAAATGGCAAATAAATACATGAAAACATGCTCATCATCATTGGTCATTAGAGAAATGCAAATTAAAACCACACTGAGATACCATCTCACTCCTGAAAGAATGGCCAGGATCAAGAAAACCAACAACAAATGCTGGAGAGGCTGTGGGGAAAAGGGAACTCTCCTGCACTGCTGGTGGAGTGTAGACTGGTACAGCCTTTGTGGAGATCTGTCTGGAGATTTCTCAAAAAGTTGGGACTGGAATTCCCATTTATTCCAGCTATTCCACTTCTAGGCATATTCCCAGAAGAACTGAAAGCATCATACCACAGTGATATATGTGCACCTATGTTTATAGCAGCACAATTTGTAATCGCCAGATCTTGGAAACAACCCAAGTGTCCATCAACTGAGGAATGGATAAAAAAGTTGTGGTATTTCTATACAATGGAGTATTATTCAGCTATAAAGAAGGATCACATTGAGATATTTATCAATAAATGGGCGAAGCTTGAGACCATACTCATAAGTGAAATAAATCAATCTCGCATGTATGAATACCGAATAGTTTCCCTAATGTAAGTAATGATTCAAATATATAAAAATATGTGGTAATCATGATTCCCCATTAGGTGGCCTTGAAGCCTTATAAAGTTTTCACTCATTAATTAGAAAGGCTTTATTCTGGGCTTCTTGATATGGAAATATTTGAAGATAGAGTATATGAAGTTTTATCCAAATATTTCAAGGAAAAAGACAGACACTATGGTAACTACTATTAAGTCGGGTTATATGGTGGTGAAGTACTAGGTTGCTGAAACAGTCATGCTTTGACCTCTATTGTTATATTGTTATGTCCTGTTTTATCTCAATCTCCCCCTTATTCTTTTAAAAAAAATTTAGTCATTTCTTATGTTTGTCTTAATTAAAGAAAAAATTTAAAAAATTAGGATATATAAACAGTAACTCTTTTTGATTTCCTATTAACTTGTTTTGAAGTCCTGTAATACTCCCATGATCTTGTTTTGACTGATTAGACTCTGTTCCATTCTATATGATAGTATCAAGTTTGGAGACATAGGCAACTACTTTGAAGGCAATAAGATTCACTAAGATACCCATTCTGGTTTGACTATTGTCTTCTTTGGAAGTCCTGTAATGTTTACAATGCCTAAGTTTTATTGGTCTTGTTCTCTACTGTTTTGTCCAACTTTATAATATCTACTGAGATAGACAATTCTTTTTAAGGAAACAAGAGACAACGTTGATAACATTGTTGATAACCTTGTACTCTGTTCTACACCATGCGCTATGTCTATCCTTGGTTTTGACTGACAGCTTTGTTTTGCCATATTTGACTGTATTCTCCCCCCCCCCCAAAGTAATAAGCACTAAGGAGTAATAAAATCCAAAATGTGTAAATTTTGTTGTAAAAAAGAGAGGGGAAAAAAGAAAAAAAAAAGAAAAAGAGCTCTAACGGATATAACAGCAAGTGTGTTTAGGGGTGTTAAATAGCTGACTATATCAATGTTTTGGGATCATTGAACACAGCTGTTTGCAGTCTCCCTGTTTGAATGTCCACCTTGTATTCTTTGATACTGTGATTTGAGCAACTATTTTCAAGATGATAATATGTAATCTACTAACAGGTGATTTCTTACTGTTATTTTTTTTTTGTAGTTCTGTATTACGTGTACCCTTACACCGCTTTGTTTTGTTTTGTGTTTTACTCTTTTTCCTCTTAAATTAAAAAAAAAAGATCCAAACATCTATCCTCACCTTCATTCAAACAGTTTTTTCCAGCTTTCAGTGGAAGTTTTTATTTCCTGCATATCTCTTTGAATTTGTTTCATGCCTTCTGTTTTTTTCCTATATTGTTCATTCAAGAGTTGCATCATTTTCCCATGCTCCTGTACTTTTTAATCTATGCCTTCTCTAGCTATGCTGAGCAATTGCTTTATTAAGGTTGTCACTTGTTTCTTTACCTGAGAGATTATTTCTTACCTGAGTTCCTTTATGGCCTCTTGGATTTCTTTCTTTATTTCACTTGCTATCTTTTCAAAAATTTTCGGTGCCTGACTTCTAATGTCCTCTGTTTCAACGTCTCTTGTACTTGTTCCTAATGGACTGAATGTTTGAAATTGAATATTGTTTTTTCACTTTGTCATTTTCACCTCTTGGGTTAATACTTTTGTCTCTTCAATCCCACTAATCTCAACTGTCCATCGTGTGTGTTTTAGGATCCTACTGTATGGCTGATGTTTGTCCAACTGCTGGGTCCCACAATGAAGAGGAAGGACCAGTTACCTGAATTCCTCCTGCAGGCCTGTTGGATGAGTCCTATATTCTTCCTAGGCTGACTAGCCTAGGAGTATTTATGCCACCAACCCTTAGCTCCTATTTTTACTATGACTTGAGGCTGTTTTAGGCTGTCATCTATCTGGCTGTCATGTGTGCCTCAGCTGGGACCCTACTCTGTCATTGGGCATCTCCTAGGCCCTTTTCAAGTTCCTCTTGGTTGAAGAGGGCCTCTTGGCATTCTTCTCAACCCACCTGGTGTTGCCTGTATGAAAGAAGGACTCACCCACACGCTTTCTGAACTTGCAGCTGTAGGGGAAGGTCCTACAGCTGGAGGGGAAGGTTTGCTGCTGCTTCTGTTTACCCACTGAGATCCTCTATTGGAGGAGGAAATTCACCACACTGTTGCAGGTCCACTGAGGTCCTCTGTGTGAGTGAAGGGGGGCTGAGGCTTCCACCAGCTCACGAGGGCTTTTCAGGTGTTGGAAGGGGCTGCTGATGGGTTGTTGAAGTCTCTGGGTTGAGGGAGGGTGGTGAGTGACAATCTTGCTGGCCCTAGAGGTTTCCAGGGTGAAAGAGGAATGGCAACCAAGGATCCTGCTGGCTGCAGAAGTCTCCAAGGTGAAAGAGGAGGGGTGACCAACATTCCCACCACCCTGCAATGTCTCTGGGGTGAAGCAAGAGGGATAACTGATGATCCCAACAGCCCCTGACGTCTCTGGGGTAAAGTGCAATGTGTCTTTTACTGTAATACATTTTTTAAAAGTTAAATATTCATTACATTTCCTGATCATGTCACATAAGCTTTTTGCTGAAAACTGGGACAACTTGTTCTTTCATAGGGCAAGGAAAACAAGTTTTACCTTCAAGAACTGAATCATAGTACTATTTGCTCTGAACAGTATTCAAAAAGACAAATATTTATAGGACTGGGTTACAGTGTCCAGTACCTTTCCAAAAATGCAAACTACTTTTTCTCTGAAAAGCATATGGGAATTTTAGCTTAGAAGACATAATTTGGGAAGATACTGGCTGGTGCATTAGAATATTCTCAGACATTTTAGTCTGGCTCCAAAACTGGTGATGAAATCAGGTATTATGCTGCACACTGGTGATCCCACCATGCTGGTAGGCTGAGGCAAGAAGTTGCAAGTTCAAACCCTGCCTGGAAAGTTAGTGGCTTAGCAATAAGAGGTGTCAATATTTTTTAAAATACAAAATAAAATTTTACTAAAGTGAAACATTTGTCTTGCTTGCAAGTATTAAACTTGTAATACTTAAAAAAGAAAAAATTTATCCTGTATCAAGACTTTTGGAATGGAAACCAGGGAAATGGTAGCCAACAAATCCTTTACAACAGTAGCATAGAATGAGTGTGGAGAATCATGTGTCATGATCAGGAAATACAGTGGAGTTAACTTGGCATACCATCTTCAGACTGCATTTAGACACCATCTAATTTCTATAGGTGTGTTGGACCAGAGTGCAAAATCCTTGACTCAAAGTTCATAATATCTTATCAATATCATTATTAAACCCATAAAATAATATATCTTAGAACTTTAGGACAGGGAGCTTTCAGCTAAGTCTCAGCCCTGAGAAATAGTGATTATGTTGATTGGCAGATATTTAACTATTCTGTTATTCTGTTCTTTATGAACACAGCACTGTCACCTCAATTGGTTTTTTTTGTTTTTGTTTTTGTTTTGTTTTTTTTTTGGTTTTTTTTTTTTTTTGGTCTTTTTCATTTTTATCGGTACCAGGGATCAAACTCACGACTGCCTGCTTGCAAGGCAGGCGCTTATGCCGCTGAGCTAAATCCCCAGCCCTCAATTGGTTTTTATAATGATGAAAACAACTAATGAACTTTAGTCTGGTACATGATAAGCACTTCATAACTTCAAAACCTAGAAATAATAGAAACAAGTTTACTAGAACTCTCTTCAAAAAGAAAGAGGTTTGTGTTAGCAGAGAAGAAGCATTTGTGCTACACATCCTCTTTCTCCAGGTGAATCATGGGTTTAATGTCATAGGTCTCAACACACATCCCTCAGGAACCCATTTGCAGTTCAGGCTGCCCTTGACCTCACTTTGCAGTCCAGACTACTCTAGAACTCACAACAATCCTCCTGCTTCAGCCTTCCAAATGCTGGGATTATAGGTATAAGCCACCATGCCCAGGCAGGGGAGACTGAAATTTTTCAAATAAGGAATGACTACCTATCATGTGCAAACCTGGCTCTGGACTAGCACAAAATATTGGTTCTACCAGTAAAGCACTACCAGCCTGGTTGGGGTAGAAGACAGGCAGGGATGAGACTTAGAATTGTTCAGGAGAGGAAAACATAAAATCAAAGAAGTGTATCTATTAAGACTTCCCTGGAAGCTGGTGGTGGGTCATGCCTGAAGGGTTTTGGCCCAGACAGGACTCTGTAGCCAGGAAAGACTCAACCGGAAGCAGGAAGCCCCCATCTCCCCTGCCCCTAGGAAGTTACCTGTGAGGCCATCTTCCCGCCCCTGAAAATTTACATATGGCGCCAAACCTAGGACCAATGGGCTACCAGTACATCCCTAATGCCCGCCTTAGGTTCCACCCCAAACCGAGGCTATTTACAGGCCCCCACGCCACGTGTCCACCGGAGAGATCGCCGGACGCCAGCGGTGGGGGTGCCGGTCATCTCTCTCCGTGTTCTCAGAATAAAGGCCACTTTTTATTTTATACTTCTCATCTTTTGAAAATATTTTTTGTCTTTTGGAAATAACCCTAGCATTTGGTGCCGTGACTCTATCGGCAGGCGATTGACTCCTGGGACACACACCCAGTTGAGTCCCCTAGCCGATAACCAGATAACATCCTGGATTATTCCCGAGCTTTTTCCTCTCCCTTTTTTCCTTTCATCTCCTCTGGAGACGTCCCTGTCACCAGCCACCTGCACTCAGCATCGGCCAGATTGATTTCAGGTGAGCACTCCCCGGGGAACTTTTGGTACTGGGCAGCCCCAGTCAACTGTTCTCCCCGTCTGCGTGGGTCTGTGCATTCTCACGTGCTTAGGACCGCCAAGGGCAGGGTTCTTTCTGGGCAAACCTGTGTCCACAAAATCTCTCACATTCTTTGGGTTCGGATAGCCCAAAGCAGAGATTTTTGGGACCGCCCACACTGAAAGAATGCCTCACTTCCCTTAAAGCCTTGCGCCTGAGAGGGGGATATGTGGCTGAAGTCACCACCGCACCCTGCTCCCGCAAGTCTGCCCAGTCCCAGAATGTCCTCCGCTGGAATCAAACTGTGGTAGAGTGTCAGTTTCTCTCACGCACCTCACCACAAGTCAGTGCACGCCTCCCTGCCGTCCTGTTTTCGTCTCCGTTCGCACTCCGTTTCATCACTCTCAGTGACGACTGAAATATACGAGTTTTTGGAACACGTCTCCGTTTCGTCACTCTCAGTGACAACTGAAATATACGAGTTTTTGGAACCGTAGCCGCCGCGTGATGCCACAAATAAGTGACGACTTGTTCTGGACCTCCAGTTTTGTTTTTTGTTTTTTTTTAATTTTATTTAAGGAGAAAAAAAACCAGAGAAAGGGTACAAGTTATACAGATTTACAGAAAAAAATAAACAGTAGGAAATCACTAGTTAATGGATGACATACTGACATCTTAGAAATAATTGTTCAAGTCACAAAATTAAAGCTTGTAAAGTGTACATTCCAACAATGATACTGCGAACAGTTCTGTTCAATGATCCAATAAAACTCAGTGATATCATTTTCTATCTTATACACTTAAATATACATGCAGTTATATCATTTAGAGCACTTTCTTTTCCTCTCTTTTGTACAATGACTATTACACATTTTGGGTTTTATTGCTCCCACGGTTCTTATTACTTTTTTGGAAGAGAGTAAAACCAAATGTAACATAATAGAACAGAGTCAGTCAAATCAAAAGGGTTGACATAATAGATAATGTAAAAGCATAATACAAGGTGATCAATAATGGTTACCATAATGCCTCCCGCTATTTCTAATAGAATTGCCCATATCATCAGATATAATAAAATTGAACAAAACAGTAAAGAACAAAACTGACAAAACTAAAACTTTGGAGGCATTGTAGGTCTACAAAAGTAGATAAAAGTCATCAAGAATGGGCATCATAATGAACCTCACTATCTTCACAACTGTTGCTTAAACTTTCCAACCTGGTACTATCCAGCAAAAGAGAATAGGGGGACATCAGTCAAAAACAAGATGGTGAGAGTAATACAGGGCTTTAAATCAAGATAATGGAAAGTCAAAGTGGGTTACTATAATATATCCTGCTATTTTTATTTATTTTTCCCTTAATAAAAAGGATAAAAATAAAAAAGTATATAATGGAGTGGAGATTGAGAAAAAAGAGGGAATAACAGCAAAACAGCGCAGATCAAAACATAACCATTTAAGCAGAATAGTGCTTCACCACAAGATAATCCCGACATAAAAGTAGTTACCATATTGTCTCTTTCCTTGAAATCCTTGAGTACAACTTCGTATACTGTAGCTTTAAATATATCAAAACAATGTAAAACCATTTAAGAGAATGACAGCATTACAGGGTGTTTAGAATCCACTAACAGAAAATGAACAATGGTTTCTGTATAATCTCTTTGTCTTTAAAAGTTTTTGCTTATACTATCAGACATAATAAAATCCAATAAGATACAACCTGTTTAGACCAATGGAGACAGAAGAACAAAAGCTTGATGAGACTTCAAAACAAGATGATACTAAATCAGTATTACCTATTAAGATGTCATTTTCTCCAAAATAGCTGTTCCTATCATCCAATCTTCTCTGTCTCATTTCTGTTGAGCTCTTTTTCGGTCATTAGCTGTCAGTTTGTCTTCTTCATTTTGTTCTCTGCTCCATTCGTTATGGCCTCCCCACCACTATTTCTGGATTCTTTGTATTTTTCTTTTTTTAGAATATCCTGCAATACTCTCTGTAGAGTTGACTGGTGGTTGCAAACTCCCCCCAGTTCCTCTTTATCCTGGAAGCACCGTGTTTTTCCATCAATTTCCAGGGACAGTTGTGCAGGATATCTCAATCTTGGCTGGAGATTATTATCTTTCAAAGCTTGAATTATTTCCCCCCACGCTCTTCGTGATTTGATGGTTTGTGCAGAGAAATCTGCTGTAATTCTGATGGGTGCTCCCTTGTAAGTGGTCTGTTTCTTGTCTCTGACAGCTTTTAATATTCTGTTCTTGTACTGAATTTCTGGAATTTTGATTATTATATGCCTGGGTTTAGCTCTGTTTGGGTTGTAGGTAGCTGGGCTCCTGTATGCCTCATACATCTGAGTATCTTTACCTTTTGCTAAATTAGGAAAATTCTCCTGGATTATTTCTGTGAGTAGCTTTTGTAGTGCATTTGTTTGTGTCCCTACTTCTTCTTTTATGTTCTTAATTCTTAAGTTATGGATCCTCTTATCATCTTCTTGTCTTTGTATTATTGCTGTTTGTTTCTTTGTTATTTTTAAGAAGTTTTTCATTTCTTTCTCCCATATTACAAATCTGCCCTCCAGTTCAGATAGTCTGTCCTTAGTTTCTTTCAAGCTGGTATGCCAGTTTTCGACATACTTTTTAGTTTCCTGGTATTCCCTTTGAACCTGCTTCACATATTCTATGCTTTCTCTATTTTCTCCATCAAACAATTCTCCCCTCTTTTTCTGTTCTTCTATTCCTCCATCTGTTGTTTCTTGGGTGGTACTTAGCTTTTCTCTAACTATTCTGCTTACTTCTAGCTTCAGGTCATTGATAACTTCATTCCTGAACTGATCTATGAGGCTTTCTAGATGTCGCTTCATGTCTATTGGTGTGGTGTCTACTATTACCTGTTTCTCAGGATTGGGGGCCGAGGAGCCTTTCTTGTTGCTGCCTCTTCCCATATTCTTTGTTCCTTATATATGCAAGCTTATATAGGAGGCCCAGGTTTCCTCCCTGTCAGCCACAGCCTGATCGAATTGCGCCGGTTAGGTGTTCCCGCCCACCACAGCACACCAGGAAGTTCCAGACCAGGCAGCCTACGCGGGGCCCACCCCTCCAGGCCACCCTCAGGCTCTGGGATCTGGGTTGGGCTAGCCTACTGGGTCTGCCAGCAGCATCACGTAGGCTAGGCACTTCTCACCAATCCCGCCTGAGAGGGGGATATGTGGCTGAAGTCACCACCGCGCCCTGCTCCCACAAGTCTGCCCAGTCCCAGAATGTCCTCCGCTGGAATCAAACTGTGGTAGAGTGTCAGTTTCTCTCACGCACCTCACCACAAGTCAGTGCACGCCTCCCTGCCCGTCCTGTTTTCGTCTCCGTTTGCAGATTCCCGTTCTCAGAGCTTCCTGCTGAGCGGCGGGAAACCCAAATCACGGCTTCCAATGGCGTGGGCTCCAGCCTCCACACTGAGGCTTTTCTGTTCCTGTTCTAGCACTAGGACTGCATTCCAAGTTGGTTTCTCTCAGCCCAGTTTGTTCCTGGGTCAGCAGAGCATATCTCCACCGGCTTATGTCACCTTACTCCGCACCATTCCTGACTTCTGAGCCGAGTCTTTCAGAGAGCCTCTGTAGCTGCTGTTATGTGTCCGCCATGTTCTTCCGGAAGTCAACCTCCGGTTTTTTTCTTGCCTGAATCAGTCATGGGGAACGTATTTTCTAACTCCCAAAGGATGCCTTTACAATGCCTAATTTCCAATTTACGTACTCTAAAAATTAAAGGTACCATAAAAACTAAACAACTAACTTTTTATTGCCAGGAGGTCTCGCCAACCTACCCGCTTATTGGCAAGCCTTGGCCCAAACAAGGAACATTTGACCCCTGCATTCTCAGGAACTTGTATCATTTTTGTCAAGCTGGCAACAAGTTATTAGAACTCCCTTATGTCCAAGCCTTTCTTATTCTGAGAACATGCCCATCTCTCATTAAGTCTTGTGCTCCCACTCAGATACTTTTAGCTAAGTCTACTGCGCTGCAAACTTTTCCATCCTGCCCTCCAGTGTTTTCCTGGCCACTGCCTGCCTACCACCAAACTCGTTCCCTTCTGTTACCTCCAGCCGGACCACTCTCCCCTCCCCCTATGCCTGATTCTCTCAGCAGTTCTAATCCCTCTCCATCACAGATACCTCCTGCTGTGCAATCATCTTCCTCTCCACCTTCCAGGACCCATAACTCTCCCAGCAGCTCTAATCCCTCTGTGTCGCAGTTATCTCCTGATGTTCGATCCTCTCCCACTACGTCTCCAGGGACCCATATCTCTCACAGTGGCTTTAATCCCTCTGTTAGACTTAGCTAAAAGTATCTGAGTGGGAGCACAAGGGCCCTCTATTATCCCTGCCTACATCCAGCTAATCTGATCCTACAGCTCTCACTGTAAAATTGTACTTGTTGACAAACTTTTCCCCCATACCATTTCCTTACCCTCTCCAGCTTCTTATAACCACTATTCTACTCTCATCTCTATGACACCAACTTTTCCATGTTCCACAAGTGAGAGATCGTGCAGAATATATTTTTCATTTTGTATCTAGCATATTTCACTTGACATAGGATCCCCCAGATTCATCCATGTGGTTCCTGTTGTACACTAAAAAAAAGAGCTTCGTTTTATTTGCATTACACCAAAATACCTGTAACATGGCCATACTGTATATATGTTTCCCTTACCCCTTCTCCCTTCTCCCTCTGGGTGACCTAATTGATATGTTAATCTATGCTCTCTTCTGTAAAGAATTGTAAATTCCTTCTCTGTCCTGTCATAAGGGAAACAAAGGTCTTCTTCATTCTTTAGCGGATTAAGGACTTTCTCATTTACTGATCCACGCCCATGACCTTTACTTTGTGAGCTGTGATAGGTACTGGAGGGGCAGCAAGTGTGGAGGAAAGGACACACACAGCTTTTGCAATCTCCAAGTACATTGTGTCACTAGGCCAGGATAAAATAAATCAGCGCTGCTTTTTAAAATATGTTTTTGCCTCATTTTTTGAACTTGAGTTTGGGGGCTCGTTTGTGGATTACAAGAGTTCCACATGAGAGGATTTCATCCTTTTAATTGCTACATGATATTCCATTGCATATATACTATATATGCCACATATTCTTTGTCCATTCATTTGCTAATGGACATCTCTATTGATTCATGTTTTGGCTTTTATAACTAGTGCTTCAGTAAACTTGAGAGTACAGATGTCTATTCACCAGACTGACTTTGCTTCCTCTGAATATTTACCGGGTGGTGGCATTCCTCACCATCACTGACATCTTTTTTTTTTGTAAATAAGACCTATTCTTACTAGCAAGAAAAAACTAAAAAGAAAATGGCCAAGAGATCTGAAATTTCATTTCTCAACAGAAGACACACAAATGGCAACAGTTACTTTTCTTTGAGGAGGTGTTTTATTTCATTAAAAAGTATTGCAACACAAATAGAAACAATGAGAGATATTTCTCTCTCTCTCTCTCTCTCTCTCTCTCTCTCTCTGTGTGTGTGTGTGTGTGTGTGTGTGTGTGTGTGTGTGTGTGTATGTGTGTGACTGGAGGTTGAACCCAGTGCCTTGGCACTGAGCTACATCTATGACCATTCCTCTATTTTTTTATTTTTTTGAGCACTGGGAATCAAACTTGGACCTCACACCTGCCAGGTAGGCACTGCAGCACTGAGCTAAATACCTGGCCTCTCTTCTCTTTATTTTATTATTATCATTTAAAAAAAAATTTTTTTTCAGATATGGTCTTTCTAAACTGAACAGGCTGGGCTCAAAATTGTGACAAATATGTCTTAAAAGATTGCTTAACATCACTAGCTGCTGGGCAAATATTGTTATACACTAACAAAAAGAGTTTTGCTATGTTTGCCAATGCCCAAGTTATGTGACCAAATTATTTGTTAATTCCTTTCGCAAACACAACTGTTTTCTACAACCAGACACCCTGGGGCACTGACCACATTGTTACAAAATAGCTGTAGTGGCATCATACTGTTCTGCATGTGCCATCTTCCTGGGTGACCTGATTGATATGTTAACCATAGCTCCCCTCTGCAAGGGACTGTAAATTCCTGGGAATCTGACCTGATTGATATGTTAACCATTGCTCCCCTCTGCAAAGGACAGACATTATCTAAAATTAAGTGCTAAAATTAGCTGACAATGGATTATAAATTCCTGTGAAACCTCTCTGGCCTCAAGCAAAGGGAAACAAAGGTCTTCTTAATTGTACTTTCTATAAAACTGTAAAAAGTTTTGAGTGAGTAACACAGCTTTGCGAACTCCAACTGCACTGTGTCCCTGATACCAGGCTAAATAAACAGCACTCCTTTTTCTTCAAAAAACATGTCTTGCCCCACTTTTGGACACCATTTTGCGGGGCTAATTTTGGGGGCCCAACAATATAAATCAAAATTAGAAGATATAAACGGCATTTTATAATATGAACCTCAGTCCTGATGAGCCAACAATGTAAAGGATAAACAAGGAAAGTTTCTTCATGGGTGTGTCTTGGAGGAGGAGAAAAACACAAACGGTCTGATTTAAACAGCAGAGAGGAGCAACGGCTGTCCAAAGACCTTGCGGACACACCCTGTTACGAGAGTGAGTCCTCCGCTGGGATTCCCACTCGGCCTCAGACAAAGCAGATAAAGCTGGGACCCTCCATCAAGGTAAGAAGCATTGAAACACATAATAGTCTCTACAAAATTCCATTTGCCTGAGACAGATGCCCCATTCTTTCAGTATGAGAATGCAACAGGACAATGTATATGCAAAAGTTTTCCAAGAGGTAAGTAAGCATGTGTATATTTTTAATAAATTAATCTCTTCAGTCAAAAGAAAGACTCAGAACACAAGTTTATAAAATATATAGGGAAAAAACATAGATCAAAGTCTTGTGGAGCAAGGAACAAGAATAAAGATTAACTATAAAAGGGATGAGGGGACTTATAGCAGCAATGATAATGTTCTAAGACAATATGATGATTGTACCACTTGGCAGAGCTTCTAAAAAAATCATTGGCTTTTACATCTAAATTGTATGTCATGTAAAATAGACTTTAATAAGTTACTTTCTTTAAAAAACCTACTCTTCACAAATGAATGTAATCACTAGGTACTGCAAAGATATATATGTAAAAATTTTTAACACAAAATTATAAATCATATTGAATTGGAGTTGAAAAGTAATCATTTAAAAACTTGAACATATGCCAGGCACAGTAGTACAATCCTATAAATCATAGCTTCAGGAGGATACAGCAGGAGGATTTCCATAAATTTGAGGCCAGCATGGGCCACATAGTAAGTTCAAAGTTAGCCTGAACCACACAGCAAGGCCCTGTCTTAAAAAAAAATAGGATAAAAAGGAAAGAAAATAAAATATGTGTATGTGTAGATAGATAGATATAGATATAAATATGCTTAAACAAAAACAATCAGCTCTCAAGTATTCAGTGTGCACATGTGGTCTTTCCTGAGGATGTTTCAGCCTAAGAAACAACAATGTTCAAAGCTATGTAAAATTTCCATTCCCACCTCCCCTTTTGGTTGAGTTCAAGAAGAAAGTCAGGGTTTTCTTCTATCCTTATTTTTACTGTGGGTGTTGACACAGAGTGAAGCAAAATCCCAGTTGCAACAAAAAGACTTGTGATATTAGTTACGGGTTAATGACTGATGTCTTAAGGGTTTCTTATCTTTACCATAATTTGATAAAGAGTATAGCCTGGTGTTAGAAATTGTTTTCACCTGTCTTAAGATGTTCTAAATTCTAATATATTGTATAACGGGGCAGTGAGTGCATTGATAATTTTTACTGAAGGGCTCCATCTTTCCACAACTCAACTCTGAATTGTACAAGAGCAAAGCAACAGTAACCCTAACACAAAATATGCAATGTTGAAAGTAGCTGTCCTGGGAATTTAATGTACACATTTTTTTCAACTCTTTCCAGCTCTCAACCATAGGTTGTTATAGAGGAAAAATCACCTTGAACAAATGAAGTCAAGCTGTTCATTGACACTGGTGTAAGGACATTGCCAAATTTTTCAAGATACATTGGATAAAAGTTATAAATAGTAATTTCACTTGACTTTCAATTCAATATGAGTTGCATAGGAAGGTGGTACAAGTTCATTTACCAAGTCATATCATTGGATCTATAATTCAGCTCATTACTACCTACCGTACATGGGCTCTTAAATCTTTCCAACTTCATACCCTGTTGGCAATTACTCCTTGACTCTCTTGACACTAATTCCCTCTTCTCAACCTCTAGCACCTCACTCTCAGCTCATGGCCTCACCTTCTGTTTTGCAGTATGACTCTATAATGATTGATGTCTCTGGGCTTCTTATCTTTACCTTGATTTGGTTAATAGTGGAGCCTGGTATTAGAAATCAAGTATATTCACCTGTGCTGAGATGTTTTGACTTTTGATGTATTGAGAATTGGAAATTCTCATTTAAGGACCCCATCTCACCTGAGAAAATCAATGAGATGATTATGGACCATGGGAATGGAACCCCCAGTCTACGGTTCTTTGTTATAGTGGGCCAATGTAGCTAATATAGTACCTTATTAACAGTCCAGCATGAGTCAACACCGAACACTAGACACTTAGAAGCAACAGTACACAGATATAAGTCTTAGTGAAAGGAAGCCAATTCTTAAGTCTTTACATTACCCGTGTCCCTCCAACCTATTCCTAGCTCCAAGGAGGATTAGAACAGAGGCTAACTATCCCTATGGGCCAAGGCAGCCTGTCCACTTACTTGATTAGTATCTTCTCTACAGTAGCTACTTTGTGATTAACATACAATGTAATGATATCTCTTTAATGATACGAATGTCTCCCATATGTGAATGATATACTAATTGTTACTTTGAAGTCCCTAGAAAGTTATAGGATGTTCACTTTCAGACAAAATCAAGATTAGAGGGTCGAATTTGCAGCCTTACATCGAAATTTATGGGACAATAAAGGGGCTGAAACTGAGTCCAAGCACCAGTGACCTACAATGTAATCAAACACGCCTATGAAACAAACCCCTAAACAAAAATCAATTAGGGAATTACCAGTTTGGGGAACATCTCAAAGCACTACAGGGTATTATGAATAAAGAACTCATAAAATCTCCATACTCCTATATCCCCACTACTTTGTCCACACATGCCTCTCATTTGGCCATTCCTAAATTGTATTCATAATTTAAAATGATATACTGAGTTCTGTGAGGCATTCTAGAAAATTATGAAACTTTCAGTGACCAGCAAGGGGACCCCCATTTTATAGCCAGTCAGTCAGAAGAATGGGTGGCCCAGGACTTGTGATTGGTGTCCAAAGTACAGACAATCTTGTGGAACTAGTCTCCTAATTTATAGGCCATGTACAAACTCCAGATATTTCATCTCATAATTGAATTGCATTATAGATACACCCAGCTGCTGTTAGAGAATTGGGGAACTGACTTCTGAAGTTTTTTTTTTAATTTCATTTAAGGAGAAAAAAAAAAGCAGAGAAAGGGTACAAGTTATACAGATTTACAGAAAAAAAAACAATAGGAAATCACTAGTTAATGGATTACATATTGTCATCTTAGAAATAATTGTTCAAGTCACAAAATTAAAGCTTGTAAAGTGGACATTCCAACAGTGAGACTGCAAAAAGTTCTGTTCAATGATCCAATAAAACTCAGTGATATCATTTTCTATCTTATACACTTAAATATACATACAGTTATATCATTTAGAGCACTTTCTTTTCCTCTCTTTTGTACATTGACAGTTACACATTTTGGGTTTTGTTGCTCCCACAGTTCTTACTACTTTTTTGGAAGGGAGTAGAACCAAATGTGACATAACAGAACAGAGTCAATCAAATCAAAAGGGTGGACATAATAGATAATGTAAAAGCATAATACAAGGTGATCAATAATGGTTACCATAATGCCTCCCGCTATCTCTAATAGAATTGCTTATATCATCAGTTATAATAAAATTGAACAAAACAGTAAAGAACAAAACCGACAAAACCAAAACACTGGAGACATTATAGGTCTTCAAAAGTAGATAAAAGTCAATGAGAATGGGCGTCATAATGAATCACACAATCTTCACAGCTGTTGCTTAAAATTTTGAACCTGGTACTATCAAGCAAAACAGAATAGGGGGACATCAGTCAAAAACAAGATGGTGAGAGTAATACAGGGCTTTAAATCAAGATAATGGAAAGTCAAAGTGGGTTACTATAATATATCCTGCTATTTTTATTTATTTTTCCCTTAATTAAAAGGATAAAAATAAAAAAAGTAAATAATGAATTGGAGATTGAGATAAAAGAGGGCATAACAGCAAAACAGCACAGATCAAAACATAAACATTTAAGCAAAAGAGCGTTAAACCACACGATAATCCTGACATAAAAGTAGTTACCATATTGTCTCTTTCCTTGAAATCTTTGAATATAACTTCGTATACTGTAGCACCAAACATATCAAAACAATGTAAAACCATTTAAGAGAATGACAGCATTACAGGGTATTTAGAATCAACTAACAGAAAATGAACAATGGTTTCTGTATAATCTCCTTGCCTTTAAAAGTTTTTGCTTATACTATCATACATAATAAAATCCAATAAGTCCACTGGTCTAAACCAGTGGAGACAGAAGAACAAAAGCTTGATGAGACTTCAAAACAGGATGATACTAAATCAGTATTACCTATTAAGATGTCATTTTCTCCAAAATAGCTGTTCCTATCATCCAGTCTTCTCTGCTTCATTTCTGTTGAGCTCTTTTTCTGTCTCTAGTTATCAGTTTGTCTTTTTCATTTTGTTTTCTGCTCCATTCATTGTGGCCTCTCTGCCACTATTTCTGGATTCTTTGTATTTTTCTTTTTTAGAATATCCTGCAGTATTCTCTGTAGAGTTGAATTGGTGGTTGCAAATTCCCCTAGTTCCTCTTTATCCTGAAAGCACCTTGTTTTTCCATCAATTTCCAGGGATAGTTGTGCAGGATATATCAATCTTGGCTGGAGATTATTATCTTTCAAAGCTTGAATTATTTCGCCCCATGCTCTTCATGATTTGATGGTTTGTGCCGAGAAGTCTGCTGTAATTCTTATGGGTGTTCCCTTGTAAGTGGTCTGTTTCTTGTCTCTGACAGCTTTTAATATTCGGTTCTTGTATTGAATTTCTGGAATTTTTATTATTATATGCCTGGGTGTTGCTCTGTTTGGGTTGTAGGTGGCTGGGGTCCTGTATGCCTCGTACATCTGAGTATCTTTACCTTTTGCTAAATTAGGAAAATGCTCCTGGATTATTTCTGTGAGTAGCTTTTGTAGTGCATTTGTTTGTGCCCCTATCTCTTCTTTTATGTTCTTAATTCTTAAGTTATGGATCCTCTTATCAGCTTCTAGTCTTTGTATTATTGCTGTTTGTTTCTTTGTTACTTTTAAGAAGTTTTTCATTTCATGCTCCCATATTACAAATCTGCCCTCCAGTTCAGATAGTCTGTCCTTAGTTTCTTTCAAGCTGTTATGCCAGTTTTCGACAGTTTTTAGTTTCCTGGTAGTCTCTTTGAACCTGCTTCACGTATTCTATGGTTTCTCTGTTGTCTCCATCAAACAATTCTCCCCTATTTTTCTGTTCTTCCATTCCACCATCTGTTTTTTCTTGGGTGGTGCTTTGCATTTCTCTAACTATTCTGCTTATTTCTACCTTGAGGTCATTAATAACTTCATTCCTGAACTGATCTATGAGGCTCTCTAGATGGCACTTCATATCTATTGGTGCGGTGTCCGCTATTGCCTGTTTCTCAGGATTGGGGGCCGAGGAGCCTTTCTTGTTGCTGCCTCTTCCCATATTCTTTGTTCCTTATATATGCAAGCTTATGTAGGAGGCCCAGCTTCCCTCCCTGTCAGCCACAGCCTGATCGAATTGCACCGGCTTGGTGTTCCTGCCCACAGCAGCACACCAGGAAATTGTAGACCAGGCAGCCTATGTGGGGCCCGCCCCTCCAGACCAACCTCAGGTTCTGGGATCTGGGTTGTGCTAGCCTACTGGGTCTCCGCCAGCAGCATCACGTAGGCTAGGCACTTCTCACCAATCCCGCTTGAGAGGGGGATACGTGGCTGAAATCGCTGCAGCGCCCTGCTCCCGCAAGTCTGCCCTGCCCCTCTTCCGTTGGAGTCTCATTAAACTGTGGGAGAGTGTCAGTTTCTCTCACTCACCTCACCACAAGTCAATGTACAGCTCCCTGCCTGTCCTGTTTTCAACTTGGTTCGCCGATTCCCGTTCTCAGAGCTTCCGTGCGTCTGTCTCCCTGCCGAGCCGATGTAGACCCAGCCGCAGCACGGCGGGAAACCCAAATCGCGGCGTCCAATGGCGCGGGCTCCAGCCTCCACACTGAGGCCCCTCTGTTCCTGTTCTAGCACCAGGACTGCATTCCAAGTTGGTTTCTCTCGGCCCAGTTCGTTCCTGGGTCAGCAGAGCATATCTCCACCTGCTTATGACTCCTTAGTCCGCACCATTCCTGAATTCTAAGCCGAGTCTTTCAGAGAGCCTCCGTAGCTGCTGCTACCTGTCCGCTATGTTCTCCCCTGACTTCTGATGTTAAACACATCAGGCCACTTTTCTCTGAACAGACCACTTAACAAGCTCTACTTCTCAAGTTTCTACCTATCGAAAGGAATTGTTCTTGCCGCAGTTCTTAGGGAGATTTCTCAGACAGTCTGTAGTAACCATCAGCAGTTATTCAATTCCTGTGTCAATGTATCGTATTTATTTACTCATAGCTTAAGATCAGTTTCCTTCCTCGTGTATCTTTTGACCATAGGGAACCCTACCCTAAGGTGTGAGCATAAGCTGAGGGAGAGGCATCAGTATAAGGGTGGAAAGTGACATGAGCGTCTGCGGTACCTGCTTGTGTGATTACTCTGGAGCTTCTTAGGCCTGATCCCTGATAATCATGGATTGCTCCTGTCCCCTGCTAACTCTATGATTCACAGAATTGAACTGCACTAAGCACACAGCCTATGTGTAATATGATGCGCTTCTTTAGTATACTATCCTTTCATATTACATTGTGACTTATTCAGTCTCTACTAGCAAATCTGGAGTAATTTTTGAAATATTTAGCATAGACTTGTTCCAGAAATCTAAAATTTTGCACTAAGACTCCCTCAGGGACTCACCGAAGACTCTACATAGATCTTCATCAGCTCACATATGTTTGACTACATGCAATCTGCTAGGTTCTATGGCCCAGGAGGCAGACCGCTTACATCACATTTTCACTTGCTGGAGAGCCATTGTTTATTCTGGGTTCTACTCAATAAATACAGCCTTCACAAACCACCCAATAAATGGATTAGACTAGAATTTCCATGTACTGTATAGTATATGTCATCCCCCAAGCCTAAAGAGATCTACTAAATTTTGAGTGAACGTTTTAACATGTACAGACCAATGGAGTCCTAAAACCCAATTGTGTGATAGATGACCGCATTTAAAGTTTGCATTGAAATCATTATCTGCTTTGATATTTGCTTAAGATTTACTTACAACCTAAGTACTATAATAGCATAATTGGTTTTATGTAAGTACATAGCTATTCACTCTTGGAGATTTGAGAAGAAGGTCTTAACTTATACACCAAGAAATCATAAGTTTACCTTATATGCAAAGTCACACACCACCCAGTGAATATACATTTGAAAGCAAGAATGGTTACTTTACAATAAATGTTTTGAAACCACAGCTTAATTGACACAACTGAGGGACTAGGGAAAGAGTATGATCTGCTGAGACTAATGAGTTTGACTCATGGACCCAGTGAGGACCCAGAGAAACCATTATATCAGTGTCACAATATATTCATATATTTAATCCATTTATTCAATAAACTTCAATAAGCAGTAAAAACACCCCGCAAGAAGTGTAAGTCCAACAAGGCCCTTAGGAATTAAGAATAAGACCATATGTCATGTGGAGGAGACAGTAAATCCAAGAGCTTTGGAGGAATTACAAAATATTCTTTCATGTGTTGAAAACAAAGATGAACCCAGGAGAAGAGGCTAGAAGTGAAAAGCAGCCAGAGCAGAGCCTTGAAAGCAGGGCATCGGGTGTGTTCCAAGGGTTTAGGAGAGAAATCCACCCTATAAAAGCATAAAACCATCCTTTGTTACCATTCAGCAGCCACAAAGTAACATGAAAAGCCCTTTCACATCTGACTCAATTCATTTGTACATCTCACAACTGTGAACTATATATCTTAAGAGTCTCAATGAGTAAACAGTTATTGAACCTCTATGGATGGGTACATGCTATGATTTGACTTCAAGAAACCAAAACCACTGTAGCTAGTTTAAAAGAAGAGATTTAATATAAGAAAATCTGTGTTCATAAAACCATCAGAAGGGCTTGAGATGCAGGTATTGAGTTTCTGGTAGTGATTTCTGCACCATTCCAACTCCAGCTCACACAGAGGAGATCCTATTTCACTTCTCTACTTACAGGAACTCTTATTGGTGCTGCCTGCCATTGTAAGGCCTCATTTCCAGGACAGAGTTCACCAAGGCGAAGACCAAAAAGAAACCTCTATGTTTCGACCTCTGAGCCTGAAAACCTTCCTGCCTCTGAAACCTCCACTCCTCATGAGAAGCAAGAGCAGTGGGACCAATAATAGGCTCAAACTGGCCAACAAAGTTGCTGTGATCACAGGATCCACATCAGGGTGAGAGCAACTATTTGGGAATTCCAAAACTGTGACAGTCTTTTGATTATGTTGACCTCATTGTCTTAGCCTGATTCTCACAAAGCAAAGCCTCTAACGCTAAAATACCAGTAGTTTTGGAAGAATGAGATCCTAAGGGAATAAAGGAATAAGAGAAGAAACCAGAAAACCAGATATAGCCAATGCAGGATGTGTAACCAACATGGCCCCACTATAGGCTCCTGGGTGATGGGTCTACAGCTGCAGTAGGAATCATGAACTGCATTTAGAGGCAACAACCAGAGGAAGGAAAAAGGAATTCAGCCATTGCTCCATACCTCCATTAGTCAATAGGTATGTTACATAAGTTACACTACATTGTAGCACCAGGCATTGTAGCACCAGTCTGGGGACCTGAGGGTCTCCCCAGAAAAGGCTCTCCATTTTCTGCTTCTTGCCTTCATGTCAATAAAAATGAAGAAGAAGGGCAAAGTTAGCTCAAAGCTGAAAGCTTCTGGCTAGAAATAGGGCAATCAAGTCCATGAAGAATGAAGAAGTCATAATGGAAGTAGTGTGAAACAGAGGTTTATTTATAATATTGCAAACAAAACTTCAGGATGGCAAGCTACATAACAAGGAGAGCCTGAAATGAGCTTCACAAAAGTCAGGAGCCACTGAACTCATACTTACAGGGGTAAACTGGTCCCTAAAAATTAACTTGATCACTGACAGGTGTACTCTAAGCCAATCAGAGTCTTATCCTTGGTTATTGGGGAGCATTAAAGGTTGTGGGGTCTTCACCATTGACTGGTGTACTCTAAGCCAATCACGGTCTTCCCTTTGGTTACTGCAGTGAGCTGTTGCTGGGGTGAGCTAAAGGTCATGAGGGGTCTAGGATCATACAGTAAATGCATTAAATTGACCCCTAAAAATAACTGTTCCACGTCTGCAAAAGTTTCAGAAAGAACAATTTCCAGTAAACAAGTAACCATTTCTCTGACCATCTGCTATGTCAGTCATGCCAAGTCAGCCACTTTATGCCCTACATCCCTGCCTATTTCCCCCTCCAACTGTTACTACATAACCGCATCCTTTTAAGCTGCATGCCTAACAGCACTCAGTGTATTCACAAGCCTGAGACAAGAAGCTCTAAGCTTGCAGCTACCAAGATGACCAAAGTTTTGCGGAGCTGGGAATGAGATGTCACTATACCAGTTCCAGTAAAGGGTGAAGTCAAGATCTGATGCAGTACACAAAGGGTCCAATAGTCCTGGGATTAATGTATCTCTTTTTCACATCTTATGCTCATCTTACCAGTTTTGGCCAGAACATGATGTTAGCTCCTTTGGGTTAGAAGAGAAAATTCATTTGGAAATTTAAGATGAAAAATATATCAAGCAAGAAAAAAGTCATTTGCTGGTGGAAATGTAAGTTAGTTCAAGCTCCATGGAAATCACTGTGGAGATTCCTCAAGAACATAAAAATAGAGGTTCCATTTGACCCAGCTATTCCCCTTGTAGGTATCTTCCTGAAAGAGTTAAAGACATCATATTGCAGAGATACATGCACACCCATGTTTATAACAGTGCAAATTGTAATAGCTGAATTTTGGAAACAGCTTACTGTTAACTGAAATAAATCAGACACACAAGTTTATAAACAGAAAAACAAAAAATAGATAAATAGAAAATAGGAAATAGGGAAATCTTTTTCAAATAACTTAGAGAACAAGAAATGAACAGAGGGGGGGAGGAAAAGGAGTAAAAAAAAAAAGAACGGGGGGGGAGTGAAATGATAAAAATAGGGCTTCTGCAAAAAAGAAAGTGGACCAAGAGTCCAAGGAAATTAAAAGAAGATGCATTATATACACATATCAATCCCCCACAATAAATGTAATCATTGTGTACTGCAAACACATAAAAAAAAAAAAAAGAAAGAAAGAGGACTCAGCCCACAGTTGAAATGTCACGTACTCTCCATTTCTCTACCCACAGGATCGGCTTTGCCATCTCCCGGCGTCTGGCCCAGGATGGGGCCCATGTGGTCATCAGCAGCCGGAAGCAGACAAACGTGGATCACGCAGTGGCCACACTCAAAGAGGAGGGACTGAGTGTGACGGGCACTGTGTGCCATGTGGGGAAGGCTGAGGACCGGGAGCAGCTGGTGACCACAGTGAGGGACATCATGGAGTTCTAGCCAGGGACTCAGGGATTCTGCTTCTATCACCCACACTAGGAGAACAGGCTTTAGTCTCCATTATATTAATCAAATCAACTGGTTGTCTCTAAACTTCTATCAGTCATCTCACAGACTTCTCTAAACAGGCCAAGACAGAGAAAAACTAGGGAGGAAGCAAGATGTCGGGGTGGTGAGAACTCTTCCTTCCTGCTGAGTATGAGTCAGGCAGGCCCTCCTAGAAGATCCTGAGGAGGACTGAAGAAGATAGCAATACTGTCACAAGAAATTCTGAAGAGCTAGAGTGTTCAGGAAAATGGAGATATGATGTGACATTCCAAGAAACAGAGCAGAGGAGACACAAGTTAGGAAACTGGTAACCCAGAGTACCTAAAATTAAAAGAATATACAATAAAAGAAACACGGGTGAAACTTCACAGGCTCAAGACCTAGTTCTGAAAAGAGATGGTTCTCCATCCTCACTTGAAGGTGTTCCTCCCCCAGATCTGACTCAGAGGTAACCCACAGATATGGAACACAAACCTTTCTCTCCTTGACTCTGGTCCTTGATGTCCTCTTCTCACCTACAGGCTCTGAAACACTGTGGGGGTGTGGACTTCCTGGTGTGCACAGCAGGGGTCAATCCCTTGGTGGGAAGTACCCTGGGGAGCAGTGAGCAGATCTGGGACAAGGTGAGAACTGGGAATGATGGCAGGAAAGTAGTGAGACTTCATCCTCTTCTTCTGAGGAACTCTCCAGTTCTGCTGACATATCCAGAGCTGGTCTTCAACTCCCACATATTGACACCACCTGTCCATCATCGGCTCATTAGCACAGAGAAGGTTCATATGCTTTATGAACCTCAGCTTCCATCTGTGAAGTGCAGGGAAGGGTATCTGAAGTGTGGCTCTCATCTGCCCTGTCCAGGAGTTCCTAGTCTGCAGGTCATCCCCAATATGCGTAAAACCAGTGGAGCTCAGAAAAGGAGACAATTCTCTTCCTTGTCTGCTTCCCTTGGCAGGGCATCCTGCCTACATGCCCAGCTACCATGTTTCCTGATTCAGTGACAACACAAGACTAACTTCTATCCCCCACCACTCTATGCTCTGATTTCAGATCATGAACATCAATGTGAAGGCCCCAGCCCTCCTTCTGAGCCAGCTGCTTCCCCACATGGAAAAAAGAGGGTGAGGATGAAGGTGGGGAAGGAGAAGAGAGAGGGAGATGCTTCCTATCAAACAAGAAGCTGGGAAGCAAGGTGAAGAGGGTCCAGTTTTAAATTAGACATTCCTCTCTGGAAGCAGGCTTAGATGGAGCAGTGATACATAAATGGTGACAGTTTGACTTGCAGACTCTGAGTCACCTAAAATACCAAAGAATTCCATTTATTAGTGTGCCTAGGAAATAGATCTGGCATTCAGAAAGACTGGGAAATACCTACAGAACCTCAGCAAGGAAGGAGAATGAGGAACCCACTGATACAGAACCTAGAGTTCCCACAACTGTCCTAGAGTCAGAACAATGCAAGTGGCCACTCTTGGGCTATAGAAGTATCAGCCTGATGATCCTAAGGTACCTGTGGCCTGTGGACTGTGGCAGAGCTCAGTGCCCAGCCTGAAACGTAGATCAGGCCCCTCCTGCTTGGCCATGTTTTTTCTACCTAGGCCCCCATTCTGACCCATGGCACCTCTGCAAGGTCTGGCTTCTCTTAGTAATTGAGAAATTTTATCACGTCAGTTAATGGTTCACAACAGTTCTGCTAAGCAGAAGACATTCACTAAAGGACATTCTAAGTGATGTACTTCAGCCAGAATTACATCAAAAGATCCGTGTGGAAAATCTGAAATACAAGTAAGATGAAACACACAGAAAGTACTTAACATGTGAGCAGATTTCAATGCCTAATGTAAAAAAGCAAGAGTGATGTTTGTAAGGTTAAAATTTTTAAATGCACAAAGAATAATGTTTAAATGAGGGAGGCAGACATGGAAGTGTTTTAAGATTTTCATGTTGTTGAGATATGATTCGAAAACTAATTATAGCTGGACATGGTGGTGCATGCCAGTAATCCCAACACTCAGGAGGCTGAGGCATGAGAATTGCCTGGGCTATGTAGGGAGCTCAAGGCAAGCTTGCACCATAGTGTGAGACACTGTCTCAAATAAAATGTTAAAAAATAAAAGAAAGGAAGGATGGAAGGTAGGAGGGAAGCAAGGAAGAGAAAATTTTTGATTAGCTAAACAAGCCTGTTTGTTTTCTAGAATAACAACAATATAAATGACAATACAGTATGTAGTGTATGTTCAAAGTATTAAAGGAATGGGCCAGTGATATAGCTCTGCAGCAAAAGCACCTGCCTGGTAAGCACCAGGTCTAGAGTTCGATTTCCAGTACCCCCAAAAGTAATAATAATAATAATAATAATAATAATAATAATAATATAGGAAGAAGTTAAAATAGAAAAACTAATCTAGCATAAGTAAGAATACATAAGAAAAAAAAGTGGAATTTTTAAAATCACAAAATTGAACATTAGATGTTAACCCCAGTATATCAGTAATTGCAGTTAAAATATAAAGATAGCCAAGCTACAATGCTTACTCAAATTAAAGTTCTTTGGCTGAGCATGGTAGCACATGTCTGTAATCCCAGCACTCAGCACTGGGGCAGAAGATTTCAAGTTCAAGGTTATCCTGGCAAATTACCAAGGTTTATCTTAATCCCCCTGCACACACACACAAAAAGGTTTTTAATCTGGTTAGACAACAAGAACATGTTTCACCTAATTTATCTCTCTTGTTCACTGAGTTTATAGTGCTGAGAAAAATAATATGATGCTTATAATTCTGGAAAGAGCTAGGAATCCAAATACTGTTTACAACAGGATGGATAAGCCAGTGCACACTGCACACAGGTCCTCTGCTAGGCTGTTCCCTCTGAAACAAACATCTTAAACCCCTTTTAAAGACAATGAAGTAAATCTGTATCTTTCAAGATTATAAGCAGTAGTGGTTAGCAGAGACAATATTGCCTGTATTGAAAAAAGCCAAAACAGAAATGTGTTAGGAAAACACTAAATGCCCAGAAGTAAAAGAAAAGAAATATTATACAGCAGAAAGCAATAGAAAAGGAAACAAAATACAGTATAAGGATCAAAAGAGCCAAAAATTTATTTAAACAAAAACCAATAACCATCATCAGGAATAAAGGCAAAAAGCACCACTAGAGATCCCAAAGGTAATAAAGAGAACGATAAACAGAAACTGACCAAACATAAACTGAACTCATTGTAAAATAAACAATTTTCTGAAAAAGAAAAAGTATGCAACTTTACCAAAACTAACTTAAGAAGAGATAGTAGATGTGATTGGTGGTGCTATTACCATTCAATAAATGTAATCCACAGCCAAATTTTTCCAAAAGAATTTCAAAAGTCCAGCTTCTCTAGCAATATAATTTGAGAGATATAATTGAAAACTTAAAGGAAAATGGAAATAAATCTCTAACAACCCCAACTACTCTCATCTCCATCACAAGAAGTGAATCTGGCCTTCATTCTGTCCTCTCTGCTTCCCCAGACAAGGTTCAGTGGTCCTGGTCTCCTCCATCGCAGCTTATTTGCCGGCTATAGTAAGTAATCCTCTCCATGGCTCGCCTTGTCACCTGCAAATGCAGTTTCACAATTGCTCCCTCAGGCCTATTCATGTGCAAGAGTGATCCCTGTGGTCACAGACTTTGTCTTTTATACAAATTCACTTAATGGGAGCATCTTGCCCTCTCTATGGAGCATTATCTCTTAGATTTAATGAACAATTGGAAAATATTACTGAGAACTCAGGAAATTAAACTGACTCTTTTTGGTCCTCATTCCAGCCTGTTCATCCATTTTCCTTTCTGCCCACAGAAGCTAGGAGTCTACAATGTCAGTAAAACAGCCCTACTGGCCCTTACCAAGACTCTGGCAGGGGAACTGGCACCGAAGAACATCCGGGTGAATGGCCTAGTACCAGGAATCATAGAAACACCGTTCAGCAAAGTGGTAAGGTCCAAGAGCAGCCACTCCTACCCTACCGAACAGCAACATGATGTCTGCCTGAAGGCTTTGTCTCACAGGCCTAGAATCCCAGACTTAGCCTTGTTGACTCTTTCTCGGATCCTCTGGCCCAAGTCTTTAAGATCCACTGCAGATGAAGACTCAGTCCTCTGTCAAGAGCCATCTCATAGTGTCTTTCAGCAGCCCTTAGACACACAGTGTGCACGATGTACAGCCCATGGGATCCACCTGCAAAAGCACCACTAACCTTTTGACCTTTCCTCCAGCTGACTGAAGACACAGAATATGCAGAAAGGCTGAAGAGAGTCTACGAAATACGTAGGTAGGTTGTGGCTAGGCAGAGGTCCTTGGGGATCTGAATTAACATGACCCCAAAACTTTCTTGAAAGATGAAAAGTCAAAGAGCATTCCTCCACAGACTTCTTCTCCCAGGTATGACAGTTCCCCCAGACTTGGGATGACCTCTGCAATTCCCTGTAGATAGACCACACATGATTTCAGTTGTGCCTATTTGCTTATCCCCACAAGGCCAGTGTCACAAGGCCAGAGTCCAGGAACTATGTGGAAAGTGTCACCAGACTTCCTCCCACCTTCTCTCTCTGTACAGATTTGGACAGCCTGAAGACTGTGCTGGACTTGTGTCTTTTCTGTGCTCCCCGGATGCCAGCTACATCACCGGTGAGAACATCGTGGTGGCTGGCTTCTCCCCCCGTATGTGAAGGACCTCTCCATGCAGGAGCCCCACGTGCCTGTGCTCCAAATGTGCACACTTTAATTGAAATGCTTCACTGGCAGAAATAATAAAGTTCAGAAAAGAGCTGGTGGTGTGAATCTGTCATTAAAATCAGCTAACACAGTGTCAACTTTGCTAGAAAACAAAATGGGTGCTAGAATCTCAGATAAAAGCAAAGAGCTAAAATTGGGCTAGAAGACAACATGCGATGTCTCCTAAACATTCCTATGAACCTGATGTTTTGATCTCTAATTCTGCAGCTGAGAAAGTCAAGGACCATATTCTGAGGACACACATAGCAGGTCAGAGCAAGCTGAACCTCCATCTGCTTGTAAAAGGGAGAAAGATGAGCTTGGCATTGTATTTGAGGGGAAAGACTAGCCACCCGGTTCTCATTTTCTCTTTGAATTCCTATCCTGTAAGACTAGATGTGGTCTGCTTGCATTCACAGTTCAACCTTCCACAAATATATGCTCAGTCGGTAACTAATGTCTCTCATACAATGCATGCTGACCACTGGAGCCTGAAATGCAGGGACATGGCACCTTGCTGAGGGTCCTTTCTGTGTCTCCCAGGACCACATTGAGTTCACAAACATTGCTTGTGGGCAATTCTGATGCACACCATAGGCTTCCTACAGCAGCATGCTCTGTGTATGGGAGAAGTTAGTACCTGCCAGTGTCTGCAACCAATGAGGGGTGGGACCTGGGAGATCAGCACCCCAACTGCTTGCTTCTTGGTGGGACAATGCTGGTGTTTGCACTCTACAGCTTCTCAGAAGAGGCCCAGCAGTGAGTGCTCACACACATACCCACAGGGATAACCTGACAACCTGCTCTTACACACACCGTTCCTTGGTTTTCCTCTCTTCCTGCTCCCATTTTTCTCTCTTCGCTCTTCTCTTCTCCCCAGGCTTCTCTCCCCTCTCCTGTCTGCTGCCTCTCTGTCTGTCTCTGTCTCTGTTTCTCTCTGTGTGTCTCTCTCTGTCTCTGTGTCTGTCTGTCTGTCTCTCTCTCTCTCTCTGTGAGAGCGTGTGTGTGTGTGTGTGTGTGTGTGTGTGTGTGTGTGTGTGTGTGTGTGTCATGTCCTTTGTTTCATCTCCACAGGAAGTCATTTTTGGTCTCAGGATCTTCTTTGGTGGCAATCCAAACTCAGATAAAAACAAAACTTTTCATTACATATTTACGAATAAATGACTAAAAATACAAAGCTCTAGATGAGCCAACACAGTGGCTGAAATATACTTCTCAAACACTTTTAGCCATCAGGTAAGTAACATCTCCCAAATTCAATTTTTAAAATTTTATGTAAAGAGCCTTACAATACAACCGTACATACACACCAAAAGCAATATATATCTCCCAACCTATTCCTGACTCAGATTGTACAGCCATTACTAAGGACAGATCATCAAGAACTTTCCTAGGTTCTTCATATGATTATTACAATAAAATGCTTAACTATTCAATGCTTCATATTTCCCAGACACTATATAGTATTTAAACTTTACTTGTACACAAAATGAAAAATGAAGACTTTAACCTTCCCAGAGTCACTCAAGCAACAGGAAGATTTGCATTTGTTCCAGAGTCCAAAGTCTATATTCTCTTTTAATTTTATTTTAAGCAGGGTAAAATTAAACAGAAAAAAACAGACCAAAGATAACAATGTAAGAGACACATTTCTTTTTTTTAAGTGTCCAGAATCTTTTCATTTTTATTTTTTATTAAAAAAATTAAAAGAAAGAAGGAGATTGAGATAAAAGAGGACCTAACAAAATAATAACACAGGTCAGAACAGAACAATTTAATCAACATAGTGTTTCACATCAAGATAACCTGACATAACGGTAGCTACCATGGTGTCTCTTTCCTTGAAATATTTGAGTATAACTTCATATATTATAGCATCAAACACAACATAACAGTGTAAAACCATTCAAGAGAATAAAAGTATTACAGGGTATTTAGAACCAACTAACAGAAAAAGAACAATGGTTTCTATATTATCTCCTTGTCTATAAAAAATTTATTTGTACTATCACATATAATAAAATCCAGTAAGATACAACATGATTAACCAATGCAGGCAGTAGAACAAAAACTTCATGGGACTTCAAAACAAGATGATATTAAATCAGCACTAGCTTTTATGATGTCTTGATTTCTTCAAAATAACTGTTCATTGTCAGGCGCAGGCGCTCAACACACCCCACCAGGGACGATAAGACCACGTCAGCTTCCGCACTGCGTTTCGTCCCTCTCTAAACTAGCCAACCCGTGCGAACCTCGTGCTCACTCCGTATTCGCCCCGTGCTGACTCTGTGGCAACCCCTGATTGGCCACAGCTGGGTATAGTAGCCAAAGCCTGTGTCCCATTCCCGCCCTGCTTCCTCGTAGCGGCCTGTGATTGGTCACGGCCGAATATATAAACCAGAGCCCGCGTAAATAAAGCGGCAGTTCCTGTTACCCACAAGAGCGTCCTCTGTCTCATTGGGGGGCTGCGCCGGTCAGTTCATACCATCACAGACAATAAAATCAAACAACCCAGAATAAAACCATTCCAATTAATCAGTGAAAACATTATAAGGCTTCAAAGCAATATAATGGGGAATCATATTTACCACATACTTTTATGTATTCTTACCATTTATTACACTAGGGAAACTATTCAGTATTTATACATGTGAGTTTGATTTATTTCACTTATGAGTATGGTCTCAAGCTGTGCCCATTTATTTATAAATATCTCAGTGTGATCATTCTTTATAGCTGAGTAGAACCCCATTGTATAGAAATACCACAACTTTTTTATCCATTCCTCAGTTGATGGACACTTAGGTTGTTTCCAAGATCTGGCTGTTACAAATTGTGCTGCTATAAACATGGGTGCACATATATCACTGTGATATGATGTTTTCAGTTTTTCTGGAAATATGCCTAGAAATGGAATAGCTGGAACAAATGGGACTTCCAATCACAGCTTTTTGAGAAATCTTTAGAGTGACCTCCACAATGGTTGCACCTACACTCCCACCAGCAGTGCAGGAGAGTCCCTTTTCCCCCACAGCCCCTCCAGCATTTGTTGTTGGTAGTTTTCTTGAACTTGGCCATTCTTTCCAGAGTGATATGGAATCCCAATGTGGTTTTAATTTGCACTTCACTAATGACTAATGATGATGAACATTTTTTCATGTATTTATTTGCCATTTGTATTTCTTCCTCTGAGAATTGTGTATTCATCTCAGATGCCCATTTTTGGATTGGATCTTTGAATTATGGGGGTCTGAATTTTAAATTCTTTACATGATTTAGACAGAAGTGCTTTGTTTGAGGGACAGTTCACTAAGATTTTTCCCAGTTTGTGGGTTTTCTTTTCACTATGCTGGAGATTTCCTTTGACATGCAGAAATTTTTTAATAAGAGGCGATCTCAGTTATTGCTTCTCAGAAGTATTTCCCGTGTAGTTTGAGTCCTGTTCATGAATTCTCTACCTACCCCTATGTCTCCAAGGTTTTTACCCATTTTGTCTTCCAATACATTTAGTGTTTCTGTTTTAATTTTCAGATCTTTGATTCATTTAGATTTTAATTTAGTATATTGTGATAGGAATGGATCTAGTTTAAGTTTTCGGCATGTGGAGAGCCAGTTTTTCCAGCACTGTTTATTAAAGACACTGTCATTCTTGCAGTGAACATGTTTGGCACCTTTGTCAAAGATAAGGGGGTCGAGTGTGTTTGTAGTTGTGGTTGTATTTTCTAATCTATTCAATTGATCTTCGGCTCTGTTTTGATTCCAATACCGTGTTGATTTTACTGCGGTTGCTTTGGAGTATAACTTCAAGTCAGGGATTGTGATGTCGCCTGCTTTGCCTTTGCTACTTAGAACTGTCTTTACTATTCTAGGTCTCTTCTGATTCCAGATGAATTTGAGGAGTGATTTCTCTAGATCTATGAGGTATATTGTTGGTATTTTTATTGGGATTGTATTGAATGTGTATAACAGTTTTGGGAGAATGGCCATTTTCACAATATTTATTCCTCCTATCCATGAGCAAGGGATTTCTTTCCACTTTCTGAGATCCTCTTTGATTTCTTTTTTTTCAGTGTATTATAGTTTTCCCTTGTGTAGGTCTTTCAGTTCTTTTGTGAGAGTAATTCCTAAATATTTCATTTTTGTAGTTGCTAATATGAAGGGTGTGGTTACTCTTATTTCTCTATCAGTGATTTTCTTGTTAGTGTACAGGAATGTTATTGATTTTTGAGTATTGATTTTATATCCAGCTACATTGCTGAATTTATTATACCTAATAGTCTTTCAATGGAGTTTAGAGGGTCTTCTATGTAGAGTATTATTCATCTGCAAATAATGATAATTTAACTTCTTCCCTTCCTATCTTTACCCCTTTTATTTCTCTCTTGTCTGATTGCTCTGGCTAGTATTTCCAGCACTATATTGAATAGGAGCAGTGATAAGTGACATCCTTGTCTTGTGCCTGATTTTAAGGTAAAGGCCTTCAGTTTTTGGCCATTTAGTATGATACTGCCTGTTGGTTTGTCATAGATGCCCTTTATCACATTGAGGTAAAGACCATCTATTCCAATTTTCTGTAAGGTTCTTATCATGAATGAATGTTGGGCCTTATCAAAAGCTTTTTCTGCATCTATAGAAATGATCATGTGATTCTTATTTTTGGCTTATTGCTTTGGTGGATTACATTTATTGATTTACGTATGTTGCACCATCCCTGCATACCTAGGAAAATTCCCATTTGGTCATGGTATATAATCTTCTTGATGATTTGCTGCATCGTATTTGCCAGTATTTTATTGAGAATTTTTGCATGTGTGTTCATTAGGGAGATTGGATTATAGTTCTCTTTTTTAGTTGGCTGTTTCTCAGGCTTTGGTACTAGAGTAGTATTTGCTTCCAAGAATGACTTAGGAAGAACTGCTTCCCTTTCAATTTCATTGAAGAGTTTGAGGAGTATCATCAGCCTAAAGTCTTCTTTGTAGTTCTTGTAGAATTCCACAGTGAATCCGTCTGGGTCTGGGCTCTTCTTTGTAGATAAGGACTTA